ATGTTCGGTTCCCGGTATTGACGGTAGCAGTTGCGGTGGCCACACTTTATAGTGAACGACTCGAGCCCCTCCTCGGTCGTACGGCAGATGCTGCGTAAAGTTGGGGATGGTGTTGAGACACGACGAGTTGGTGCTACTCGAGCTCAGACCGGCAACCTCGAGCGCCCCCGACCCATCATCTAAGTATTATTCTATTGGGCGCTCCTTATTCCAGCGCGAGGGCGTGGCAGGGTGACGACATGCTCTTTTATAACCCGAAGAATCATGTTGACCTCATCGATAACATCGCCCTATGGCCCATAGACCTTATGGGTCATCTTATTTGTGTGGCCAACGTCCAGGTCAATGCTGTTGAAGTCCGCAGTGCCGTGTGTCGACGGATTTCTCTCGACATGTCGCTATTGTCGCTATTGTCTCGCAAGGCATCGCTTTCTCTTAAGATGGGGGACACTTGATCGTCGTCCGCGTGCGTCGTAGTGGTTATCGGCGCGGGAGGGCGGCTTCGAGGCCGGCCAAGGTGAGTTCCTTGGAGAGGGAACTCTTGGCAAGCATCGTCACCCTCGCAGGCCGTGTGAAAAATGATAAGCCAAAAAGGAGATTTATCAAATGAGGCGACGAGCGGCTTTGTGGAGAGGGGTGAGGGGCTCGGTAAAGCGGCGCAGTACTAAGAAACGGCGTGTAGTGGGCTTGACAGTTGGAATTGATCGTTGGAGGGAGGGAGGTCGTAAACGATACAAGAACAGGCCAGTATTTACGCCCCTGTGGAAGTACACATCGAGAGGACAATGTCGCAGCCCGACTGGTCGAGAGCCATATGTGACAGGCGGTCTCATACACTCACGGAGGGTTGGAGGGAGAGAGTCTGGCCGAGTTTATTGAGCCTCCATCGGAAGATTTATGCATAAAGGGACAAAGCAACCCGACCCTATAGATCGATTCAAACCCGGCAATGACAGAATGCAAGATGGAGGCCATGCTTACTGGATAGGAACGGTAATAAGGGCGTGCCTTGGTTCGTTGCACCTATCGCCGACAACCCCCTGTCCTCCACACTGGGGCACTAGACCAGTTAAAGCAACGAATGACGCACCCAACACAACACACCCCACCAAGAATCCTATACTACTATGTATACCTAGTACATGCCCTACCACGTTCGTGCCTATCTCATATATGAGACCTACGCTTAAATACAGAGATTATTGCTATTCTTGGCCTCACTTCCTATTCGTGACGGTCATCCCGTCATCAAATAATCATATCGGTCCCTTTGGCCTTCAAAATCGACCAACAGACACAAGCCTGAGTCATGGCAACCGATATGTATACACGCGACATCACAGATGATGATTCTGGCGGGGATACGCCTATTCACCCCAAATGCGAGGACTTACCACGAACTTTCGTCCATCCCATGCCATACGATCGTCACGACCAGCATGATACCAACTACGATGTAGAATGCATCGAGGGGAGCGGCGCTAGCACCATCCCTACCCACCTCTCCGAAACTGAAACCGTCTTCAGTCGAGATGATGAATCAGTCTTGACGGGACCAACCGACTTTGTGCCACCATCCTCCAACGGACGCAGCCATAAGGGAAAGGAGACGATCACTCTTTCCAGCGTTGACGACGAGACCATATTCCCTAACCAACTAGGCGGTCTATCAAGCCAAAACTCGGACCGGGCCGAGATTATACCATTCATCGGCCCGGAGGGGAGTCCTGCTACGGCGACGGACCCTATCCCGGGCCCGCCGATAAGGGACATCGATTTAGAAGACGGCGGCACCGGTTCTACTAGCATGCCACCCAACCATGATGTTATCAAGCCACTTGTCACACCACGTATGAATTATATGAACTGGGAGGATACCTCCAAATGCGCTCCGGCATCTGCTGACGAAGTCATCGACCGTTTCGACACCGACTTTAACCATGCAGACAGCTCATCTACCTCCGACTCCAGCGTTGGCGACGATTTGGTTCCCGCCCGAACCATTCCCGTTGCTGGCAGCGCGGCGGCTAGGGATAGAAGTCCGCTCAAGTACACGATAATCCATGAGATGGTTGATCGGAGCCTGCCGAGGCCGGGCCGGTTAGAGGAGTTCTTAAGCCCAGAGAGATTGCGAGACGCCTGCATTCTCTGCGAAACGTTCGCAGGCTACTCCACGCGTATTATCAACTTCCTCCAACCCAACTTCTTATCCCAGCCCCCGCAAGAGAATACCCGCGTCCCGCCCGAGGACATTGTCAATCCCATCCTCCAAATTATTACGCTAGGGCTTGATGGGTCGGCTCCTAGGATTAGGTGCTGCATCTGTAAGCCGCGCCTAGTCACGGCCGATATAGCCGCTCTCCGATTCGGCCTAGACGGAACGATAACCCTTCACCACCTCGAAAACGACGAGCCTATTACGTTCGTCTGTTGCGATGAGACCTTCCCCTTTCCAGAATGGGCCGAGGAAGCCGTCAATGCATTCCTTGAAGGCGCTAAGCCTTGGGCCGAGGCGGGCTTAACTTTCACACAGGTCGGCCGTAACGAGGCCGCCCACTTCCGTATCGCCTTCTCCCTATTCCCGAGCGATCTGGACTGCAGTGTCCTCGCGCAGGCCTTCTTCCCCGGCACGGAGCAGCCGGAGCAGCGCACCCTATGGGTGTACCTACTAGCCTTCCACCCATATTACCGCCCCTACATGGCGGGGTATATGGCGCACGAAGCGGGTCACATCGGCGGCGCTAGGCACGGCTTCGATGAGCACTTGCTTCCTGACGGCTCCGAGATCGCCGAGCTGAAGTCGGTCCTCATGGGAATCGACGACCCCAGAAGCGTGATGAATTATCACGACAACCCGAGTGATTACGCTGTCCAGCCATCGGACACCAGGGATATGAGAAACATGCGCGACTACCCCAAAGATGAGTACCGAAAGTACGAGATCATCAAGGTTAGGCCAAAGGTCGAGGTTTATTCGCGTATGACGTCATTCGAATGGATTGCATATTCTTTGCGTTACAGGGCTTAGTAGCTAAGGGAGGCAACCGAAGGAAGGAGAGCCATGGAACCGATGATTTATAACATCAGGCAATACACCAAGTGCCCACTCCAGATCTCCCTACGAGCGGGACACAGGGCCAGCAGGAAAACAAATGACGGAAGAACAGGTTTCCCGGGATCATCGGGAGAATTAAACCGATTTGGCTTGAAGGGATCTATTTGGCAGATTTGTTTTTGCTCGGCAATGAATCTGATGATGTTTCACGTAGGTTATGAGAATATGTGATAAGACCTAGAATGTAGATAAGGCTACCCCTCAGCCACACCCAGCCACAAATGTGGCTTCAATAGCCAGTTTACTGACTATAAATGATTCAATAAAGTTTTTTTCTAAACTATATAATTGTGACAGGAATTGAAAGTCAATGTGGTATTGATGTTGTAGAAGCAATGGAATAATTGACCTAAAGGCACCGTGAGGGGTAGACTTTATACACTGTCCGTCGGATGCGGTCTCTGTCGACAGCCCCGCGATATTTTACTCTTTATGCGATAAAGAATGCCTGCTTCATTACCAAGATACGAACACACGTCTCAGATCTTCGGGTTTAATTTACGCCTTGCGATAAGTGGGAGATGAATCTAGTGAAAGATGAGATCAGGCAACCTGGTTGCCGGCGGTAGTATTAGTGTCCCAGGTAGCGTAGGATCCCCAATCCTCGCTCCCTTATATCTGACATTTCCAAGCCTTAAGCGATCCTTCTATAGCTATTGCCCAGGATCCCCCCAACCAAGCGGATTCTTCCCTACTACACTAGGTACCCTAGTGAATTACCAAGTACCAATAGATTCCTAGCCCTCTACCTGTATTATATTCTTGTCGGCTATCTTGTCCACATACAAAGCTCCGTCTTCATGGATAGCGTGCTCAATTATTAAAAGAGTGAAGCAATGAAGCCGCCAAAAGATAAGCAAAAGGAAGAAGAGGGAGTGGAAGCGTACAAGCCCCGGAATTTGCCCCTAATCGTCAACCGGCGCGGTCTAACTTGGCATCCTATGGAAGTGGAAGCCTAGCGACAATCTGAGGCTGACATGAACGCCTTGTCACCACACATCCCCGCCGGCATTGATTCTTGGCGCAGCACCTGTTGATCCACTGGTTGGCCAGCTTGGACCGGTGTGCTCTCGGTCGCTCCCTCGTACACTTGAGAGGGGGAATGCCAGAACATATAACGAGACCGCCGAAGAGATTTGGAACATCGCCCTGCCCCAAGGGTCACGTTCAAGGTTCATGAGAAGTATGGGCCATGATTAGGTATAGTAAGGGCAAAATCTTTGCAGAAATGTGTGAGAGCTAGCTCAGTGGGATGAAGTTTGCAAGTCGTTGACTAATTTAAGCATTTAAGTAATATCTTCTTACCAGAAACTACCAAATTGAGTCAAGTTTCTTGTAAATTAATATATTTGCAGAATTTTATAAGCTTTAGTCTAATGTGATCCGGAGCCCGGTTTTGTTTATCTAGTGCTATGATGGCTATAGCGGCACAGCACCACAACCAGATCTCAGCCACAACCTAGGGTATAATGGCCGGTGTAGCCCACACCTTAGTTTCTTTATTCCTTCTTTTTCTTTATGTAGATTCCATATGAACAGAGTACTTCTTTCGTGAAGCTACATATGTAAGTCTTCCGTAAATACTGAACCGTACAAACACAGGTTTTATACAATAAATTTTATTTTTAAAGCGAATTTATATAAAGGCCTCTGCTTCTAAACATGACATAGGTCTGTTATTAAATACCCGTTTAGTTAATATTTTAACTTAAGATCATACATACCCTTTATATCTAACCCCTAGTATACGCCATAGCTAGTCGGCCATGGGCATGAATTGCGTCCTGCCGACGCCTTCACGTCCGTCTCAGTAGGTTACTGGCCAACATATATATAATATGTAAAAAATGAAAACCGAAGCACTAAGAAGGATGCTTGCTAGTCCTGGTCCCAGTGAGGCTCGAACTCACGGCCTTCGCATGGACCAATGTTATTACGATATAATATTAGTACGACGCTCTAACCAACTGAGCTATGGGACCATTGGTGATGGATGGTGTAGGTATCCTAGCAGAAGAAGCGCAGATGCTGTTGACCGTCGACGAATGTGTTATCCATATTGCAATAACTCATTCGAGTTGTTTTGCGGTCGTGTATAGTGGCGTTTAGTCTATCTAATCTTATGTTCCGCAGTGAGCGCAGGGCTGTTGCGGATCGTGATGAGCCTTTTTTCGTTGAATATAGTTAAATCCATTGGCCTTAACAGACTTGTGTGAATACTTTTTCTTCTTGGCATTCTTTGCATTAATGAATCTTATTTTGATGGAGTTCGCTAGGGTTTTTCTTTCGTAGATCGGGTTTATTCATTCAATTGAGCCATCGTCGCAGCGGACTTTTTCGCATTAAAGTGCGAGGCTTCTCTTACAATACCCCAGATAATGGCTACCTATAAAGCAGGGCAGACTATAACTATAAATCTAACTCCGGATAATGGGATAGTCTCCCAGCCTTCTTAGCCAGATCGTACCTAGCATCCCTCAGCGTGGCTTCATCCGCAAAGTTTTGCGTCCAAATCTCTCTGTCGCCCATATCGTTAACACATGTAGGACAAAAGTGTTCATGTGTTGAGAAGTATGTAAGATTCTTGGCATGAAGAAATTCCAGTCTCGGGCACGCATCCGACAGCCAGCTAAATACGGTGCTCCAATCTCCCCCATCTCTGTAAATCCTCACTGCTGTAAAATCGACTCGCCGAGCGACGGAATCCCGCGTTTCCTCACAATCTCGTGCTGTGAGGAGGTTAATGAGTGTTTGTGCATTAGCGTAGACGCGATTCAAATATAAAGCACGAAGCCCTCTAGATTTCGGGCCAGGCTTCCAGTTCAGTCTGTCAAGGCTTAGATAGTGAGTGCAATGGAGGCCTAAGGACTCAAGATTGTTGCAAGACTCGATAAATGCCCAAATTTCATTTTGGTGATCGCGGTTTGGATATTGAGCCTGAAGATTGCTTGGGGCGTAAGCGGAATGCTCAATACTTGTCTGCGCGCCGTCCTGGTGGGGGTCTTCATTCCCGGACCCGGCATAATCTCCAAAAGGCAGGGGGTAGAACTTTCCTCCAGGGCCAGTTTCGTCGACGACTTCAAGATATAAGTGTTTAAGTTGTCGTTTCACGTTGTCCGGAATTCCTGCAGCCAATCTCCCGATATCGCGCGTGCCAGGCAGTCTTAGGCGAAGATCGAATAAGTGTTGAAAAGCCGGGGAGCGAAGACCGTATAGGATAGTATCCATGGCCATATCGAGCAGGTCGACGTCGTAGCAGTCGGCCTCGTAGGTGCCACCCCGAAATTCATCCTTATGAGAGTGGGCATCCTCAAAAGCGACACTAAATGCCTCTACACACGTGAGATTATTCATGAGGTCTCGTACCAGCCTATTTCCCACAGACATATCCGAGGCCTGAGAATAATGTCTCGTCCGTTCATCCATCGTATCTTTGTAGATACCGAGGAGATCTCGCCCCTCAACCCTAAGTTAAAAGTCAGTTCCATGCCAGTTAAAATTTCCTCTCGAGTCGGGTATGAAACGAGTTCTTGGAGAGAATCATACCGAGCCCGATTAACATCATACCATCTTGTGAATGATCTCACACCGCCTATCGTAGGAATAAGGAGTCTGTTGAAAATGTTATCCTTCAAAGGATTGTCGATACTGCCCGGCTTTCGTTCTGGCTTTCGTTTACATAGCTCAAGGACTTCTTCTAAGGAATTCGTCTTATTAAAGTTCACAGGCCGCCACCCATACTGCCTCAGTATTCTAATTACACTTGAGTTCCACGTCGCAGAAACTAGTCGAAGGTTATAGACGTGCTCAAGCGAACGGTAAGCGAAACCTCGGTCTGTACGATGGTCGTCCTCTTCATCTCCACAATAGGGATGTGAATTATAGTCGCAAGATATGAACACATCCCATGGATCATCTCGTCCGTCTTTAGGAAGAGACCCCTGTACTGAAATATCGGATACTCTCTTAGGTTCAATCGAACAGTCGACAATCTAGATAGGGGTTAACAATATTTGTCTAAAAGAGAGCTACGAGACTAATTAGCTTCGATATGTGCTACTCACGTTGTCAATCATCTCGACTGGAAGATGCATTGTGAATTGAGGAACCAGAGCCGATAGAAGCTTTACACATGTCCTAAGTGGAAATCTTGGTTTTCGTGAATTTTAGTTAGATCGTTGACGAAGGCAGTAATTCAATTATAACTTATAGGTGAACAAATACACAAGCGTCTAATGTTTGCTACCAGCTACCGGCCGCTAACAGCCACTCGAAAATATCCCTGAGATATTCTAACTTAGGGATTTAACCTACTTAGTTAGGCAATTTATCCCTTGCGCGCCTTGGTGTTTGCCAGCTTACCTCTCGACTCCATCCCATCTACATTACATACAGGGCACACACACATATGTAGTAAGGTATATAGTACTTGTATTGGGGAAGCGTGAGCGTTTTCGGCTAGCTTTTAGTGCGCGGCCAGTGCTAGCAGTGTAGCTTCGAATTCAGGGTGAAAAGGCCTCAAAAGATAGCTTAGAACTGCTCGGCTAGTTATTTAACAAAAAAAATCAACGCAATAATAAAGCAAATATAAACAACGCAGGTTAAAAGCAACGCAGTATTGTAGTGTAGTAGGTGGGCGGGCCGATTATTTAGCGTATTCGAGTCGGGTGTGCTACTGAATATGTTGGTGCGGAAGGGAAGTTGCGTGGTGGGTCCCTGAACCCTGTAGAACAACCCATGCAATGCCTCAATGCAGCACAGCCTCAGTGGGCGCAGGTTAAGTTCAGAAAGCGCAGCATAAATATACCTTATACCTCAGTCAAGGATTTTCCGGATTCTCATCCCTTGCAACCTGAAACCCCGAAGTATAACGATTACTGCCTGCTATCTGTTCTGCAAGTAGTTTGTTCCAAAGTCATATATATCAATTCATACGATGGGCCGCGCACTTTATGACTCTGACAGTGAAGATGAGTACTCTGCGGGATCAGCCCCAAGAAGTGAGGTCAGCGGGGAAAACTACGCGAAGAAACAAACAGAGCCGGCCAACCCGCCAGAAATGCCCAACATAGCCGCCGAACCCGACCGTGCTTCATCCCAGGCAAATCGTTTAGTTGGATTAAGGCGTTTATATCGCGAAATCAAGGAAATATTCACAGTACTAGGCTCAAAACAATCTAATATCAAGCTAGATGGAAGTTCTCGCTCTGGTAATTGACATTATATAGACCTCTACAAGATGGTTTCAGGATACATCATTGACGGTTCGGGTTCTAGTTGGCGACTCGCTAAATGGAAATCCTCGCTTAGCAGCCCTCATGGCAACAGACCCAGTGTTTTTAATTGTCCGTCGATATCGATATCTGCAAGCACGCCTTCTGCTGCACATACAAGAAGACCTTAACAGACACGAGGCCGAGCTTGGCGGACTTGACAGAGAACAGCTTTCAGCCGAGCAGCTAAGCCAAAAAGAGGAAGAAGACAGAACATACGAGTATTCAATGAAGCAGCGAAGGATTTTGAAGAAAGTTTCTACCAGTTTGACACAATACAGTTTGTGGCCCTGGTGTATCACATTACTTAGGTATACTCGGGGTTTCACGACTGATCAGTTTCAGGCCAAGTTGTTTCCTTGGTCAAGCAACTCGCCGAATACGATGAACCGAATGCTTTAAGGTTACGTAACCTGCAAAACTTCTTTGAAGTAAACAAGCCCTTTGGAAACGACAATTCCTACTTCAACCATAAAAACGATTTGATGGTTCTGAGAGACATACGGAGCGATACATTTATTGACCGCACTTTTTTTCACCCGTTGCTAGAAAAACCAGGAAGGTTTCTAAAGGTATTTCCAACGCAAATTGAAAATGAAAAGAGCCTGAATGATTACTAATTCGGATATGTAGAGGCTGTTCCGCGATACAGTAAGCCAGTATCTTAACTTTTATGTCACAAAGCTAATGAATCCAAAAGACTCACGTGGACAGTGATGAGCACATCGTTATCAACGACAAGCGAAAAGTGATCATATTCAACACAACAGTTGCAGTATCGATCCTGTTGCTCATCTTAGTCGGGCCAATCTATCCCCTGTACTACTTATCCCAGGTTCAGTCTCGCAGTATTATGCTGCTCGGCACGGCACTGACGCAAATCGCATTTACAACCATCTTAACCATTTTCGTCGGCCTTTTTACGTCGGCGAAAAGACATGAGCTCTTTGCGATAGTAACAACGTAAGTTCTTAATATGATGGGAGGAAGGACGACAACTGATATAAATACCCTCATGTAGATACATCGGACTGCTCGTTGTCTTTATGAGCCAAACTCTATCCCCACCCCAGTCAACTTCTTAAAGTTACCCTCGACGCTGTAGCCACGTTGCCGCGGCTAACGGGATGTAATGTCTATTTAAGGGGGGGTTGTATAATTTTTCTTATCACTTGTCACGCCTTTCGGGGCGGAGAAGGTAGTTGTATATTGCCGATAGAGATTACCAATCTGGTTTTAGGCCCCGAACGCAACAGCGTAGTTCCTCCCGCTCCTTTGGCCATGAAAAAAAATGCCAAAAACATATAACGTAAATGATTCAATAGTTACCACCGATCTCAAGTTCTTATCTGATTGTTACGGAACTTAGACGTGGGACCTAAGCATAGTATTTGTAAAGAGAGTCATTCAAGCAACCATATACTTTTACAGATATTTCACGAATTACACCAGATCCAGGGGCTTAACGCCCAGCGTGTGACGATCAGCACGAATCCTATCCATCAATTATGTGCATTCAACAGTTTTTAACTAGCTACCTAGTGTTTGTGTGTAGGCATCGCGATGTTCTCGTTGAATAACTGACTCCATCCTACTCTGTCATCTTGCCCCTGTTCAGCATTGTAATAGTTACTAGCTGCTAATGATGAGACAGAAAACCGATAGTGACCCCCTTTTGTTGACCATTGGGCCTTTTCAGTACACACACC